AGGAGGATCCTTACGCCGCTTCCGGATGAGATGGAAGCTCCGTCGACGAAGATGGTCCACATGTGCTCTTTCCCTGCGGGCGGGTTGTGAGCGGTCATTTCCACGACGAAGTCGGCCATGGTTTGTGCCTTTAGAGCTTTCCTGCTCTCGTATTGAATGTCGAACTCGGAGAGTTCCAAGGACCACTTCAACATTCGACCCGCCATGTCAGGTCGACCTAAGAGCTGTTTTATCGGTTGGTCGGTTCGTACTATGACTGTGTGAGCCAAAAAATAGTGTTTGAGTCTCCTCACCGCATTGACAAGGGCTAGAGCTGCTTTTTCTATCTGTTGGTATCTGCTCTCGGGTCCTTGTAGGGCTTTGCTCGTGAAATAAACGGGTTTCTGCCCGTCGGTGGTCTCGCGAATGAGATTCACGCTGATGGCTTCGTTCGAGACGGTCAGGTATAAGAATAAAGGTTCCCCGTCGACTGGTCGAGACAGTACGGGAGGTTGGGATAGACTTTGTTTTAGGTGGCGCAGCGCCCGTTCACATTCCTCGGTCCACTCGAAGGCTGCCTCTTTGCGAAGGAGTCTGAAGAAGGGGAAGGCGTGCTGAGCGGATCTCGCGACGAAGCGGGACAGCGAGGTGGGCATTTCGTTCATGACTTGTATTGATTTCTTCGACGTAGGTGTCGGGAGGTCGGAGAAGGCTCGACATTTGTCGGGATTGGCTTCAATTCCCCGTTCTGTCAGGTAAAACCCGAGGAATTTCCCTGCCTTGACCCCGAACGTGCACTTCTCGAGGTTGAACCTCATCTTACATTGTCTTGCTTGGGCGAAGACTGCTTTGAGGTGGGCTGCATGGTCGGTGTCTTCTCTGGATTTGACGATCATGTCGTCCATGTAAACCTCGAGCATCTCTCTGATTTGTTTGTGGAACACTCTGTTCATCATACATTGGTAAGTTGCCCCTGCCTTCTTTAGACCAAAGGGCATTACGTTGTAGTAATAGTTGCCCGAGCTGGTTATGAAGGCAGTGCAATGCTTGTCGCCCATGGCCATTGGGATTTGGTTATAGCCTGAATAGGCATCCATGAACGACAACATTTTGTAACCGGTCGAGTTGTCGACCAGCATATTTATGTTCGGTAAAGGAAAAGCATCCTTCGGGCATGCCCGATTGAGATCGGTATAATCAACACACATTCTCCATTTTCCATTATTCTTTTTGACTAATACAACATTTGACAGCCAGGTTGAATACCGGGCCTCAGAAATAAAATTTTCCTCTAAGAGGTCTTTTACAGCTTTTTCAGCAGCCTCTGTTTTCTCCGGAGACTGCCTACATCTACGTTGTACTACTGCCTTAGCGGCTGGATCTATGGCGAGACGGTGACAGGCGACCTCGGGGTCGTCCGGACATTTCTTCGGCGCTCCACGCGAACAAGTCAGCATTCTCGTGCAAGTAGGCTTTGATCTGCTTCCTTGCCAAGTTGGGGAGGTCAGTACCAATCTTCACTCCTTTGCTCGCGTCCTCGCCAAGGGGGACGAGCTCGAAGTCCCCGTCCGGAATTAGTCGGAGGGGGACTTGCTCGCCGCTGGGAGGCTCGTCGTGGTCGAAACGGGTGTCAAGAGCTATGGAGTCGATCTTTGGGGGAGCTCTCTGCTCTTTTGCTTTGACGGGCTCTGGTTTTTCGGGCTCTTGTCTTGTCGTTGCTGGTCTCTTGGCGGGCCTCGTCCCAGTGTCGACTGTGTCGCGTCCCTTGGATGCGGCGTTGAAACACCTTCGAGCAGCGGCCAGGTCCCCCTGGATGGTAGCAACCCGTGCCCTCTTGGTGTAGAATTTCATCTTCAAGTGGACGGTGGAGGGTACCGCGGTCAGCTCTGCTAGTGTTGGTCTTCCCAGGACGCAGTTGTAGAGGGACGGGCAGTCGATGACGAGGAAGCGCACCTTGACCTTCCTCGTCGCTGTTAAGAAGGTAACCATGAGCTTGATGTATCCCCAGGGTTTGTAGGTCGAGCCGTTGAATCCCTGTAGGTCCGACCCCACATAAGGTGAGAGGTGCGAGTCGTCGAGCTGCAGGGTCCGGAATAATTGACTGTACATCACGTCGACGAAACTTCCTTTGTCGACCAGAACACGGTGTACGTCAAAGTTAGCCATTCTTGCTCTTATCAGTAAAGGAATGACCGCGTTAGGGGCCCCTCCGGGGAATTCTTTGAGGTAAAAGGTGATAGGCTCCGACCTACCTTTCACCCTTTCAAAAGTTACCGTCTGAGGAGGGGCAGAGTCGACCAGTTCATCCAGCTTCCTCTTGGCCGAATTTATGGTCAGGTCGTTGAATCCTCCACCATTGATGACCATGGTGGAGGGAAATTATTCCCACCTATTGTGCATCGTAAGAGGGTCTTGCAGTTGTTCGGGGACGTAGAAGTCCTCAGGTCTTGTGACGGAGAAGGCGGTTTGGATGGGAACCGATTCGTTAGATGGCCGGGCATCCTCCTCCGGCTCTCTCGTCTCCCGGGCGTCGCGACGAGGGGCGTCGTTTCGCCGGTATTGGGCGAGCCTCCCTCCCTTGATGAGGGTTTCGATGGTGTCCTTAAAGTGAACGTAGTCTTCAGTTAAGTGACCATGGCTCCTATGGTACTGACAATATTTGCTCTTGTCTACCCCGGGCTTGGCAGGAGCTGGTCGAGGGCGCTTGACGCCGCCATCTTTGAAATTCGTGCTGGAACACTCCGCCAAGATGCGCTCGCGGAAAGCTGTGAGCGGAGTGTATTCTGTGAAATGCCCCGAGGGTCCTCTCTGTTCTCGGACTTCTCGGGGTCTGTCCTCTTTTCTTTTCTCCCCGGTTCGTTGAGGAGGAGTGACCTCTTGGCGCGGGTTGCTGGTGGATCCGCGAGTTCTGGGGTCCTGGGCTCTGTTGGCCGCTTCCCTTTCCTCGTAATCCATATATGCCCGGGCCTTCTCGAGGAGAGCATCGAATGTTCGGAGTGGTTCGATGCCAACCTTTTTTCTGAATTCTGTGCCGGGGAGGAGCCCCCTCTCCAGCAAATACCTTTTCACGTGGTCCACGCAGGGGACCTGTATGGCTTCGCGATTGAAGTAGTTGATGAATTCTCTTAAAGTCTCGTCCTGCCTCTGGACGATGGCCTCGAGTGTTGCCTCAGTCTTTGGATGTCACCGAGACGCGGTGAACGAACTTATGAACTGATTCTTCAGGTTTCGCCACGAGGTGATTGATCCCGGGGCGAGACATTTATACCAATCCATTGCTGCTTTTCTGAGGGTCGTGGGAAACAACCGACATTTGATGGGTCCCCCGACATTATGGTAATGCAGCATAGCCTCGAACCCGTCTATATGGTCGACTGGGTCCGCGAATCCGTCGTATTCTTTCAGATGTGGAGGCTTCTCCATGCCCGGGGGAATGGGCGCCTCCATGATGGCTTGTGAAAGGGGACCGCAAGGGGTCGTCCTCGTCACTTCGCTCTGGGGATAGGGACGGGGACCTGAGATATTGTCGGGCCCGATGGTCCTGGTCGTGCTGGATGCCCCTCGAGCGGGATACTCGTTGGTCCGCCCTCCCATGCTTGTCTCCGGGGTGTCTTCTTTCTTGCCGTAAGGGGCCGTGGTTGTGCCCTCCGGCCTCAATGACAGGTAGCCTCTCCAAGGGGGGTCGTCTCCCCGATGGTCGGGGCGACGGGCTTTGGGAGGTGTCCCTGTATTTCCTCCGCGGGGGAGACGGGAGACGTACCTCTGTTACTCGAGGAGGTGGGGTCTGAGGCCTCCTGTGCCTCCTCGGGGGTCTTCTGTCGTCCTCTAGCGCCCTCAATCTTTCCCCCTGGGCAAAGATGAGGTAGTTGGTTTGATTGATTGCCGCAAACAGTGCTCTGGTCGTGGCATCTGCCCCGGCGGAAATGGGGCCTTCCTGAAATTGGGCAGCTAGATAGTTCGCGGGAGCCGCATTGTCTTCTTCGAGTGGAGGAGGGACTGAAGAAGATGAGGCAGTGGCTCCGTCGCGGTGGCCTGAGGGCCCGGGGATGGCGCCCCCGGGGAGTGTGTTATGGTCGGGATTGTCGGTGTTGTCGGGGATTCCGTTCTTATCCGCGAGGTTGTTGTTGACGTCGACGACGCAGACGTTTTGGTCATCCCGAACTTGGTCAGTCATGATGGTAGGAGGTGATTTTTAGCTTTGGTCTTTGAGAGTTTGCAAGACGGGGAAGCTAGTTTCCCACAGACGGCGCCACTGATCTTACCGGATCAGACTTGGACCGTCACGGCTGGCTCGAACTGAATTTGAGTGAGATGGGGGGGGGTACCTGCAAGACACTCCGATGCTAAAATGAGAGACGGAATGAGCAGGAAAAAAATGTATAGGTGCGTAATAGATGAATACCTGACCCTCTGGGAACAGAGGGTATTTATAGCCCCCAGCGCTGGGCCAAGGTCCCCCTATTGGGCAGAGCAGAACTGACCCAATAAAGAAACTGCCAGGTTCTACGTGTGTAGTGGGGCCCCGCACGTGGTCCCCTTCCTGGTGATGCTCCGCGAAGAATAAGGAGGGACGAAGACACGGTCTTTCCGGAGCTTAGAGGATTCGATAACGGTCGGAGTGGACAGAATCTGCCCTACGGGGAGGGTGCTCGAGCTGGACTCGAGCTGGAGTTCTCTTGGTCGGGGATACTGCATGCCGCGGACAATGGCGGGCATAGTGGCCATGGTCTGTGGTCGGACACGTCGATGGTGGTCCGCTTGTGAGCATTCCCCGAGGAGTTTGCTTGGATTGGGCCTTTATATGCGCTTTGGGTTAAGGTGGGCCCAGTCCATAATATATATATATATATATATATATATATATATATATATATATATATATATATATATATATATATATATATATATTAATTTATTAATACTATTATTTTATAATAATAAAATCATAACAAGAGGAAACAATACAAGCAAAGCAGGTTACTAGTTATTTAGTTCTTAGAAAAACATAAAAGAAAGAAACATCAATAAGGTCGTTGTCCATCAACATTGCCAGGTGGTGAATAGCTACAAATGGCAAAAACCCAACCATTCTTACATTTGGCCTTAGCACAACCAAGATGAACCGTATCACGCCAAACAATTTGAGTATAATGCAAACACTCATCATTAACACAAGAGTTTGAGTCATAGTCATAGTTAGGTTTTTCGGTTAGCCAAAACTTGACAGCATCAGCATCTTTCATTTCACCATAACCCTCAGCAAGGTTCTCACCAAAAGGACCCATAGAGTGCTCAAGTTCACAATCATTGATTCTCTTATTTGCATAGTCTTGTGCATAGGCTTCAAGGGTATTATTCCACGTAAGTGGACCAACACCAACATCTTTTCTAGCTTGATTATGCACATCAAGGAAATCTTGATGTGCTAGGAAATTATTTATGCAACAAAGGGTTGAACAAATGAAGAAAATGGCTAAGATCTTATGATATGAAAATCTCATTTTGATTTGTTCTTAATCGTTAAAAATTGGAGATTTGTTGGAGATTGAAGTAGGGATGTCAATGGGGCGGGGTGGGGCCGGGGGGACACTTCCCCATCTTTTTCCCCGCCATCAAATTCATTCCCCGTCCCCGATCTCCGTCACGGGGGAATTTCTATCCCCATCCCCGTTCCTCGCGGATCCCCGTTCCCCGCGGGGATCCCCATAGATCCTACATTTATTCATTAATATTTTATTTTTTAAAAATGTTTATATGTTATTATTTCATTAATAATTAGAAATATAAGATATTTGGTTTTTTTTATGGGTGATACCGTGATAGCATGATATATTGATTCATTTAAAAAGTAATATTTTTTTTGTTTAATATAGAAAATTAAATTATAGTGTGATATATTAATAAAAAATAGGAAAAGTATATTTTAATATTTTTTAAGGAAAAACTGACGACATTATTTTAATTACAAATGCATAGTATAGATAAAAAATGAACACAAAAATATTTAAAAGAAGATAAAAATGAGTAATTTTTTGATTATTTTATATTTTTTTAATATGCAAATGATTTGATAACTCTAAAATTTCTAAACAATTTAATTTAAATTTAATCAAAATAATCAACTTTTCCTATAAGCAATTACATGAACAGGTTTATGAGAATCAATGAGAAACAATCTACTTTTTTCTATAAACAATAATATAAACAGATTTATGAGAATCAAAGAGAAATAATCTATTTTTTCCTATAAATAATTACATGAACAAATTTATGAAAATCAAACCTTATTGATGAAATTGTAAGAGCTGTGAATAATGGAAGCACACCAAATAGAGAAGATGGAATTGGAAGAGGAAGATGAATGGAGATTTGACTGGAGAAGAAAAAAAGGAGTCTAACGTGTGAGACTCTAAATGTCTGGCAGAAGAAAATGAAACGCTTCAACTTTTTTAGGGTCTAATATTTACATTTCTCTCTCTTAATAAATACATGAATATTTATTTATTTATTTTTATAAATAAACATAAAGGAAATGACTAAAAAACCTAATCTAAAATATATATATTAAATTAACTATATTAAAATAATAGGCGGGGCGGGGTCCCCGCGGGGCGGGGGGGTGTATTCCCTGTCCCCGTCCCCGAAATGCTCTCGGAGGAATTTTTCTCCCCATCCCCGCCCCCACGGGAGAAAATTCCTCATCTTTGGGGCTCCGAACGGAGCGTTCCCCGCGGGGATCCCTATTAACAGGTCCAAACTGACATCCCTAGATTGAAGGAATGTATGACATCATGTACTTATAGCAAGATATTTTCCTACTTAGATTTTCTAATCCACCAATTATCAATATTAAAATATAGAAAGTACTAACAACAATAAAATATATATAGAAAATATCAATATTCTCTATGTCTTATAAAAAATAGAAAAATGGTTTGTGGATACAAATCCTGAAACTTTGACACTATTTTGATACGGTAGGGATACAATAGTAATTTTTCCGTATATTTAGTGTATTTGTATTTCGTATGGTGTCTATAAAACGTTTTTAAATAGCATTGCTTCTAAAAATATCTAATTTGTAGTACATTTTCTATTTAAATAATTTTTATTTTTAAAAAGAAAAATAAAATTATTTTTTATGAATATATATATATATATATATATATATATATATATATATATATATATATATATATATATATATATATATATATATATATATATATATATATATATATATATATATATATATATATATATATATATATATATATATATATATATATATATATACCTAAATTTACCTAAATTTTCCAACATTAACTTAACTTTTTTAGATTTTGTCAATAAACAATCTATTCATAGAGAAATTAAGTTAAACAACAATTTTTTTAGACTATCAAATAATAAGCAGTGAAATAGCCGTGCATTCACATGAGTATCGATGTGGCACGTATATTTGTTTTTAAAATTTTATTTTTATAAAAATATTATTTTTGTTTTAAAATTGTTAGAAAAGAATTACCTCAGTTGTTCACTTTGTTGCCAACAATTTTTTTCTTCTTACCAATCTCAACACCATAGTGTTGTAGGTAGCACTGCTTGAAAGGAGCAGCATCAACCTGGGAAAATACAAGCTTCTTCTCTTTATCATTAGCAGCTACAAACTCCTTTACTAACACCTCTAAGTTCTCTCTACCTTATCTGCCATCATTTTCTGCATTGAATATGCCAAGCTATAATGATAGCAACAGAGAAAGGAAATTACATAAAGACAAACCAGTAAAGTAACTCCAACTCCTTCTTTTAAGCATTCCTGAAATATTTGAATATGTTGTTCCGTTATAACTGAACCAAGCATAAATAAATAAAAATGTTGTTACATTGCATGATAAAATGCAAGATAAAGGAGCAAAGTTCACAAGGAGTACAATCGGTTTTCACTTGTTTTAACTTAGTCCTCACGCTTTCTTCTTTCCATATTTTTCAAATTAAAATAGAAATCGAACAATCTATAAGCAGGGCTTTAAATTGCATATAATGAAAGGAGATGGAAGATCAGTAAGCCTTAACCTCCCATTGTCTGTGACTGCCCATGATGATGGTGAAATCATAAATAAATGAATAAGGGAAAAATAATTAAGAAGGAGAATAAAGTTTTGAGGCAAACATAATTCTTGCTTCTAAACAAGCCACATGTTGAAGCCAGCAACAGTCTCTAGAAATTATAGACTTTTCTTATAGATATAAATTAAATTAAACAACAATTTTTTTGTAATTGAGATTAATCATTATCAGACTATTGGTGAACAATTTATAGAGAAATTAAATTAAACAACATTGTTTTATGACACAACCACAATTACAATAATTAATTTTATGTAATTTTTATTAATTTTTAATCATAATCATTTTTTAGAAAATTTGAAAAATTAATTAGTTGAAAATATAAAAAAATCTCTTTCATCGAATTTTAACAGTCATTTACCACTTACTTACGTATCATGTCATCTGTGTTTTTGTTGGCAGCAAAAATATATAATATGTCACAACACATCTGATCTGACCTGATCAGAAATGGACCGTCACGGCTGGCTCCGAGCAGAAAGCTTTTTGAACGAGGTGGGAGGGGTACCTGCAAGGCACTCCGATGCTGAAGTAAGTAGGAGTACGAGCAGATAATAGCAAGTGTAAGGTTAGAATGATGAATACCTGACCCTCTGGAAGCAGAGGGTATTTATAGCCCCCAACGCTGGGCCAAGGTTCCTTCATTGGGCCGGGCAGGTTTGGCCCAATGGAGGAACTGCCAGGTTCTACGTGCGTAGTGGGGACCCGCACGTGGTCCCCTTCCTGGATGTTCTGCGTGAAGTGTGGGCGGACGGAGACGCGGTCTTTTCGGAGTATCGTTGGGGAAACAGTGGACTGAGTCTGCCCTAGTTGGGGTGCTCGAGGTAACGTCGAGCTGGGCCTCAGAATTTGGTGCTGGACCACAGCATGTCGAGCTGGAGGTATACTGTCGAGTCAGCGACTACGCGTCGGGCACGGTCGTACTCTTTGGTCGGCGTGGCCCTTGTAAGTCCATTTGGACTGGGCCTTTGCAACGCTTTTGGGCCTGTCGGGCCCAGTCCAGAACAGGAGCCCCCCAAGTCGTGGTTCCTCTGTGAGGAGCCATGGCTTGAACTCAGGTCGTTTCCTCATCGAGGTCTCGTGCCCGGGGCAGAGGTGTAGGCCCTCGAGGGCCTCCTCGTGCCGTGCTCGGAGACATCTTCCGCGGTGGATGCCTGGAGGATCCTCACCGGGCGCGCCTGTCGAGCACACGAGGTATCTTTCGGGAACTGTGCCGCCACCCTATGGGGATAGGGTCATCATTGCGTTGGGAGCAGCGCGTCGAGGAGAGAGGCTTCGTGGTTGCCCGAGGTGACGTTTGGTATTCCACGTCATCACTATAAATAGGAACCTTGGGCCCCATAACACGTTTCTATTCTCTGTGCTCTCTCTGCTGCTGCTCTTCCAGATTTTTTCCAGTTGCGACTTTCTATCACAGATTCTTCTACTCCGTAGCCAAATCCTACTTTTTGATTCAAGTAAGTGGTTTATCTTCTTCATTTTCCTGTTAAAATGCATGTTTTTTTGGCGTTTGTAGATGTTTTAGGGACTGTGCGCGTGGGACTAGCCCGGTAAACTCATACTTAGCCCGACATATTCATGCCTAGGACCGGCAAACGCATGTTCGTGGTCGGCGTATTCATAGTTTTAGGTGATAAACTTCGGCGCTGCCCGGGGTCTTCGTGATCCAGGGCGCCTGATTCATGATCGCGCCCGGTATGTTCATGGTCTTGGCCGTGGGCCTCATGGTGTGGCTCGCCATGTTCATACCTTGGGTCGACACGTTGGAGAGTGGCCGCGTAATTGGTTTGAGGAAGAACACATCGAGTTTCAGGATGTCGGGGAGGCACCCATTCGTGGAAACGGACTATGTGGTCGTGAATGGGACGACGAGATTTGTCGAGCGTATGGCTTCGTGCCCAATTGACTGGTTTCCCGTGCTCTGCAGGTAACCATGGCGGACGAGCCGAGCTCTTCCGGGCGCCACGATCGTGAAGAACAGAGTGCCGATGAGTCGGTCAACCTGATTGATACTGTGACCGACCCTTTGCTGGATTGGGTGGGCGTCGAACCCCGAGGGATCGCGTCGATCTACAGCCGGGGCGACCGAAATCCATACGCTGTCATCGAAGCGGGCCAGAGCCAGCCCGACTTCCAAAAGAACTTCGTAGTCATGCGACCATCCTCCCGTTCAAGGATCTGCTCGGTTTATCCGGAATATAGTTTCGCGATGTACGAGATCGCGTTCAAAGATCTCGGGCTGCGGCTGCCCTTCACTGATTTCCAGGTCGGGGTCTTCACTCACCTGGAGTTGGCCCCGTCCCAGCTACATCCAAACTCACTCGCCTTCATCCGGGCGTTTGAGCTGACGTGTCGCTATCTGAGGATCGGG